GTGAGCTCTTCTTGCTGTCCCTAACCTGGCGAGGGTATCCCATGGCCAGACGGAGCAAGAGCACCAACTGGAGGTCTCTTCCTCTGCTTAGAAAGCTGAAAAAGCCTCCCCTAGTTCTGATCCCTTTGTGAAGACCCCAGCTCCACTTTCCATTAACGCAGGGATGTGGGGTAAAGTTTCCAACACAGGATATTTTATGATTTTTTTTTTTGGTACCGGGAATCAAACTCAGGGCCTTGCACTTGCCAGGCAGGAGCTTATGCCACTGAGCTATATCCCCAGCCCAACACAGGATGTTTGAAGGGACACATTCAAACCACAGCAGTCGTGATGGGGATGTCGCTGTATGGAGCTGTACGGGAGCACATAGCGAGGATCTTTCCCGGAGCCCGATGTGCTCGGGAGAGGGCTTTCCACCTGGAGATGGGATGAAGGTTTTAACTTGGTGATGGACGTGCGACTGCAGATGCTCTCGGGACAGCACACGCCACAGAAGGGGGGATGGCACGGGTCCTCCGGGCAAGGCCACTGCTGTCTTCCAGGAGGGTGGCGTTGGGGCTGAGACCTGAAAGAGGAGTGGAGAAGGTGACAGTGGTCCAGACATGGAAGAGGCGCGTGGAGCTGGGCCCAGAAGGAGCAAAGTGGGGTGCGCTGTGCTGCTTGGCCGTGAAGTGGCACAGCCCGGACATCGCGGCGGAATCCAGGTGAACGCAGCGCCAAGGCACCGTCATCCTCCCTGGCCTCTCTCACCTGGGTCCAATAAAGAAGAACACAAACTATGTTCTTCAGTGTCCCCACGCTGATTTTGATGTTTTTATTTCCTTGGTGGGTTTTGACGCCTTTGTTCTACGTTCTGTGAGAACTTTCGCTTACTGCCTTTGGCACTATCGTTCTGTCCAGCGTCCGCAAGGACACTGTGACAGGCACGCCTGGGCGTTTCTGACCCAGGTGCCAGGGCCATGGCCCTTGGTGCGAGGAATAGTTCGATGTTCAGCAGGAGTCCTGCCTCTCTCCAGGGTGCCAGTACCTTCCTGCTCTTCTCCCCGAAGCTGTGACAACCAGACACTGGCAAATGCCCTTGAGGGGGGCAAAAGTGATAGCCACCGCGGTAAAAGAGTTCCGGGTAACGTGAGCCAAAATTGCCATGATTGCATCCTAGCCTCTCTTTCACGATCGTATTATGATGCTTTGCATTTTTATTTATCTCCAATGGAAAAATTAGGCTTTGTGACAAGACTCTGGATGATTTACAACAAAAGGAACCAGTAAATACCCTTCTGTATTATAAAAACGCTACATAAGCAGTGGGGGGTCCTTGCTATGTCTATTCTATTCTCAGGTAAAAATAAAAGACGTTGCATCTCATTGGCGGGTTCTGGACAGGAGCGGACCCAGCCCTGGGAGGCACTCTGAGTTGTTTCTTCATTTATTTTGCGATCTGGCCCATCTTGGGCCGGCAGTTTATATTCTCTAACGGGACCTGTTTGCTCCCATCTTCTGGGCTGGTTTCCACTGTCAGTCATCTGCATTCTCCTCATTTCTTTCAGTCCCGTCTTTCTCCTGCCCTTGCCCCACTGAAGTAACTGGGTTTATTCTGAGTTGGGGTTTTGAAGTACGTCTTGCTTTTGTATTGTGACTTTCGCTTGTTCCAGAAAAGTCCCACAGAGAGAATAACATTCTGTAAACTTAGGATTTCTCCCCCTGCTACTTGAGAAGCATCCAGTGCCACTAATACTGAGTGAACTGTTGCACACAGAAATGACTTGACAAATCAAGAAGCTGTCTTTAAAAATCCTTCAGTCACATTGTGGACTTTATATGAATCCTCGGAAATCTCTCAGATCAAATCAGTTGTCCATTCAACGAGCTTTGCGTGAAGACTCCGGAGCCCAGGTGCAGTGCTGTTCTGCCCATCTGCAGCTTCTCTTTTGACGTGAACCTAGTGACGAGGCTGTGCCCAGAACGCCTAGTCCTCACCCTCATTCTTGTCTTTACACATGTTCACCGCTACCTGGGATACTGTAGACTTACTTGTACACTTGGGCTTTTTACTTCCTTCTCCTGAGTTGGAATGGAAGCTCTGTCCCTAATACCTGGAACACATCAGCAGGAAAAAAAAAAAGGCTTCAGTGGATTTTCTGGATGTCTACATATATCAGCTACTTCTGCCTGCTGGATACTGCTCTTAGATCTTCACCAGTATTAATCGTCTCTGATGAACGGTCATCCTTGCCTTCTCTTCACAAATATATTTTTCTGTCTACAATTTAATTCAGTTTCCACCACCTTACTTCGAAATAATCATTGAGTGGCCACCACCCTGAATCTTGACGTAATGTTCTTGTTTTCTGTTCATGGCCTCCTGTTTTGTTCAAGTATCTAGTGTCTACCATAGTGTCTATCTAGTATCTACCATAGTGACGCACTTTGGGCAGTTCCCAGGAGGAATACTTCTAGCTCTCTCCATTTAGTTCCAGGAGTGCATATGTGCCCGTAGTTTAAATATAGTATGCTCCTGAAAATATCTGGAAGTCAAATATGAGATGGTGGAGAACTCTATTTGCAGGTGATAGACATTTTTTTTCAGTGACTGTGTGCCCAGCTCTGAGCTGCTCCTGTGCACCCATGCCCAGCACCTTAAAAAACACAATGAACTGTTACGTATGTTGTAAAAACATAGCTATTATATATACGCTGTGTATGTGTGTGTGACTTAGTGTTGTTGGATGTATGTGATTATCTCCAGAAAGCAGAATCAACATAAATATTGCTGAAACTTTCAGTATTCACAATCATTTTTGCCTTCCAAATCTGGCTTGTTGAGTGTGCTCAGAGTGGTAAGTGGTCGAAAAAGTCCTGATCACCCTGGGAAGGACCCGGCACTGAGGAGCGTGCATTTCCTTGGGAGATGCTTGGGCTGGCTTCCGTGTCCTTGCTCGTGTCCTGCAAAGCAGTTTTAGAGGGGACTAGGATGCTTATGGGCACTTTCAGAGGAAGAACCAAGAGCCCTGTCCACCTGGAGTTGTCTGGATTGGTGTCATAGGAATGAGGCCCGCTGGACAAGCACGGAGGGTCTTAGGATTTCTGTCCTGCCCCGAGGTTATGTTTACTGGGGACTAACTCTGTTTCTGTAACTTTCTCCCACAGTGTCTCTGGAAAGGAAAGGCCGTGTGTTCCTTCACTCTGGAATATCCCTGTGCCTTTCCTTGGACACTTGCTCTACCGGAAGTGGCACAGCCCCACCCCTCTGCCCTCCCTCCCTGGCCTCTGCCCGGCCCTGTGAGCACTGTCATCGAGAGGGCGCAGCTGGGGAGGTGGCTTTTCCTCAGCAGAGTTGAGCACGTCCTGCCTGGCTGGGAGCAGCTTCTCAGGACCGGAGGGACCAGCTTTTGTGGTTCGTGTGGTAGAAACACTACTGCTGAAGTTTTCATTTTTTCTCTAGAAAAACAAAACATGCCTCTCGGCCTGGCTTATGAAAGCCATTGGCTTGGTACTTTTCTAATTCCTGTGTGTCAGTCTCTTTTGCAGTAACATATCCTTTTTGCCATGTAGGCAGCTGGCTGATACTTAAAAATAGAATCCCCTGACAGAAAGTTCAGCAAATACTATTCTAAAGACTTGCGTGTATTTACATCAAGTTTGCACATGTGAAGACTGCGTGCTTTTCGTGTTACTTGCATCCTTGGTTTTTATTTTTAACCTCTTGGCATTTTTTGTGTTACTCAGAGGATGGTTGCAACACAAGTAGCATAAAAGCTACTAATGAGCAGGGGTGAGGGTGCAGGGAAAGAGAGTGGGCTGCCATGCCGGGGACGAGGGGGGAGCTCGATAGTCAAATGGTTTTACTAATATGTTTGTATGATGAAATTTAGATCAGCTAATGGAGCCTGACTTGCTATGGCTAATCCTGTATCAAGCCAATTATGATAAAAGATCACCGAGTAAACTCCATAACCAATCCTACTGTACCAGAGTCACTTTAGGTACATGTAGCAACATGTTGTGACATTTATGGCTGTTGCTTGGAATTCTCAGGAATTCTCTGTTGGCTGTCATGAGAACAGAGGAACCAATTTATTATAAATCTGAGGATAGAACTGTTTTGCTTAAAAATCTCATGCATGTTTTATGTATAGGTCAAAAAGGAATAGTACCCAAGCTTTCTTTCTCCCTCCCTCCCTGTCTCTCTCTCTCTCTCTGTCTCTCTGTTAGGATTTCTCTATGTAGTTGAGGCTGGCCTTGAACACAGCTAGCCTCAAACTTGTGGGCATCCTCTTGCCTCAGCCTCCGAAGTGCTGGGATTACAGGCATGCACCACCATGATGATGTGTTCCAGTGTTTGAACAGATGTATAGAATATTGATGTAATATGAATTATAAAATATTTAAAGTACTACTTAAATTATATAATACTTAAATTGAAGAACTTTACTTTGAAGCCTCGAATTATCCTGTGATCCAGTATGGAACATTATGTAGGGAAACCAAGTTATTTTCTAAAACTCGGCCCGTTTCATAACTCTTACTGATTCATATCAATTGGAGAAATACATAGACAAGTGAATTATAAATGTATAATTTTTGTGACTCTAAAGGATAGTTTGTACCTGAACAGATGGCTTTTAGGAACACCTAATAGAAACTACCAAAACAGTGGCTGCTTTTAGAAATATCGAGGTGACATTAAAAAAAAAAAAATTAAAAAGGTATTTGCAGTGTTTGTTTGTTTTTTAAATTTGTGTCTTGAGACAGGGTCTCACTATGTAGTTCTTCCTGGCCTTGAACTTACTATGTAATGTAGCCCGGACTGGCCTTGAACTCACACTGATCTTTCTGCCTCAGCCTCCTGAGTGCTGGGATCATAGGCATGCGCCATGACACCTGGCTTGCAGTGTATTCTTTACTCCGCACCTTTGCACCCAGCTTGTACGATCAGCTTGGGAAGCTTCAGCGAGAGCCACTGACTGGCGACTAAACACCCAGTTCCTCTCCCTCTGCAGGTCTTCACGTACAAGCAGAGCACGATCACCCAGCAGAAGGTGACCGCTATGCACCCCATGCACGAGGAGGGCGTAGACGACATGGCCTCCCTGACAGAGCTGCACGCCGGCTCCATCATGCACAACCTGTTCCAGCGCTACAGGAGAAACCAGATCTACGTAAGTCCCCTTGCAGCTCCTCCACAGAGATGCCGCAGAGCCAAGTGCTTGGCGCTGTTCTCAGAGACAGTTTCCTGCCTTATAGTAACAGCACCACGTCTTTTGGATTAGGATCTTGATTCTAACCCATCTAGCATTCACTGTCTCATTTATAGAGATTTGCTGTCTGTTGAAAGGTCTTTCTGCACATGCAGAGAATCGGCCTACTTTCTTTTTGGTTTTTTGAGACAACGTCTCCCTATGTAGTTCAGGGTGGCCTTGAATTCACTGTGTACCCCAGCTTGGCCTCGGACTCCCAGTGATCCTCCTGCCTCAGCCTCCTGAGTGTTGGGATTACAGGTGGGTGCTTTCCTACCCAGCCCCTTCTTTCTCCTTGTGCAGCTACTCCTTAGATCTGGTGGGAAGTCACCTGCAGCCGTCTGCCTTCCCCAGTTAAGGACTGGAGAAGATGTCAACTTGTAGTGTTTAAGCGTCTTTCTTTTTTTCTTGATTTTTCTGTCCTTATGAAATTTTATTTCCACTTTTTTTCCCTCAAAATCACATCTATAAGCAGGGCGTGGTGCTGGACATCTGAATCCCAGCACTTAGGAGGCTGAGGCAGGAGGATTTTGAGGTCCAGGCCAGTCTGGACTACATAGCAAGACCTGATCTCAAAAAAAAAAAATCACTTCTATAATAATTTTTATATTTTTTGTTGTTACAATACAGGTATTATATTGCCTATCAAGGTCAGTTGACTGATATGTTACATCTTTTTTTCTGTCTACCTTTTTGCAAGTATTTATAGTAAACTGGGGGCAGCTACTTAGACGTTTGATTTTCTTGTCAAGTTCGAATTTATAGGTTTTTAAAGTATAAAGTATTAAAATCCCCCATCTTTAGAAATTGTTGTTCTTTAGGAGTTGTTCTTAACTTTGCCAATATTTTGAAGAATCCGATGATGATAGCAACGACCTTTGAGATGTTGAGTGAGTGGCAGAAATCCAGGCACCGGGGAGCCGGATCCCTGCGGTGTCTCTCTGCGCTCAGACTGGGAAGAAGGACTGGGAATAGGAGGAGCGAGTCATTTGTCGGTTTAATGCTTCATTTACCTCAACTTAGAAGCAGTGCATTTATTTGCCTTTTTTTCCCATTGTAAAAGCGTCATTTTTGTCAGATTGACCTAATGTTTGCCAAATGTTTTCAAACAGCCCTGTCTAAAGAAACCTGATCGTGTTGTAGTCCTCAGACTTGCCGAGCTGATTACCCCGAGTCTTTAGATTAAAATGGTTTCCACGTGTCCTTCAGAAAAGGTAGTGTTTGCGTGTGTTCTGCAGCGCGCATGTGCTGGCAGCTGGGTATTTATTTCTTTGTTTCCATCTCAAAGTCTCCTCACAGACGACCAGCGAGCAGTGCGCCCACCCGGACAATCCCCGCCACAACAGTCCCTGCCACGCCGTGTCCACACTTACCGCTGTGTGGCCCGTACCTGTGCAGTACACATTAGTGAAATAAGTGCCACACGTCTCAGAAAGCGCCAGCTCTAGGTGATGCTCGGATACAAAGCTAGTTTTTGGAAATTTTCCTTGGTGCGTGGATGTCACATGCAGGCTCTTCTAAATTCATTTTCTTCCATTTTTAAGGAAAAGGCTTAAGTTCTTACTACACATTTACAATAAGCAAGAAAAAGAAATCAGTCCGAATGCAAAGCTTACCAAGGGCTTTCAAAGGCAGAGCTGTTTTAAAAGTTTTTTTCTTCTTTCATGATAATGTTAAACCTGATAGCTAAATTGCCCAATAAATCCTCCGAATAGGATCTTGGTCCTCTTTCCTGGAATAGAGGTCTTTTTCCTCTCTTTTGAGGGAGAAACACAGGATTTTTGTGCATCTAATCTATAGTTCAGTTCAGTTAATTATGCCCTTATATGCCTTGCTTCTGAGACTTAATTGCATTATTACCTATAAAGCAGCCACTGTGATTTTCTTATTACCGTTGCAGTTGTTTGAGGGGGAGGCAGTACCTGCTAGGCTGCTCAACTGCAAACAGAACTGCCATTGTCCCAAGAGCCACCATTTTTCCACCTTGTGCCCAGCTCTGAGCAATCAATGCCTGTCTGTACCTTTACAAGATTTCAGAAAAAATCAGTATTTGAATATTGCCAGAAGTGTTGCATTCACTGTCTTAATGCTGATGTTGTGTTCCACAGATATACCAGCTTAAAACAATATATGCATTTCCTTAGGGTGTCCAGGGCAGAAGCCTCCTAGGGGTCTCACAGGCTGAACTTGAGGGTTCCTTGGGGCTGCCTCTTCCTGGAGGCTCTGGGGGCGCATCCGCCCCCTGCTTCTCCTGATTGTTGGCCAAGTTCAGTTGTTTTCCTCTGCTGGACTAAGTTCTTGTTTTCTCATTGACTCTCACCTGAGGGCTGTTCCCAGCTTCTGAAATCTACCGACGTTTCCACAAGCTAACACATTCCCTCCGGCTTGAGCCACTGATGGCCCACGCATGAATGTCCCGTCAGGTGGCACAAGCCATGGGATGAGATAGTGAGACAGCTTTATGCATGGACAGCCCCATAATGAATGAGTTACAGGAGGAAAAGGTAATTTGGGCTCTCAGTTTGTGAAGGTTTTAGTCCATAATTGCCTGGCTCCATGGCAGGAATGGCAGAGGGGCATCACAGAGGAGAAAAAGTTCGTTGCATGGCAGCAGGAAGCGGAGAGATCAAGGGAGGAGGAGGGAGATAGACCCTTCCAGGCCACACCCCCAGTGACCACCTCCTCCAATCAGGCTTCACCTCCCCATATCACATTTAGCTACAAACTCCTCAGTGGACTAATCCATGAGGCTTTGGCGGGACAGCTAGATATAAACCATAACAAGGACCAGTCTTTCTCTCTGAGGACTTTATCAGAACTTAGTAAAATATTTTCCTCCCAGCTCTTAGCATCTTCCATTGAAGTGTAAGGGTCAGCAACAATAAAAAGATCGAGCTCTCCAACAGAACATCAGAGTCGAGCCTCCATTTTCCTCACTAATGTCCTCCTCAGCTCTATTGAAGAACAGTTGCATCTCTTGGAACGTTTATTTTTAAAAATTTGTTTTATTTTAAAGGTCAGATACTATTCTCTCCTCGTGCAGCAGGACTGTTTTGAAGTAAAGTGGAACCATTCCTGGCTGCGTCTTCTTGCTCAGCTCATTCGCCTCATTCCAGCAGGCATTCATGCAGAAAATTCTGCCTCGACAGTGGCACCATGCTCAGGACATGTGACAGAAGGAACAGCATTGTCCCCCGCCTCGGAGCTTGCAGTTTAGCAGGGACACAGAATGGAGGCCAGCGTACAGCCAAGGTCTTAAACAACTGAAGACAGTCCTGCTGAGTGGCAGGTCACAGAAGGTGACACAGGCTTGGTTTTGACCCTGCCTGTGAAGCCCCCAAGCCTTAGCCAGAGCCCTGCTCCGCAGCTCCATGCCTCCTGCGCCTCTGGGCTGTGCGCTTCCTGGCTGAGAGGGTGCTCCTGCCTGGTGGCCACCTAGCCCACACCTGTTCAGTTCCCAAAGCCTTTAAGGAGAGGGCTGCAGCGTGTGGTGCGCAGAGGGAGGGCAAGAGACGGGGAGGGATAACCTGCAGGGGGTCAGAGAGCCTGAATTTGAGCTGGGCACAGTGGCACACACCTATAATCCCAGCACTCTGGGAGACTGAGGCAGGAGGATGGCAAGTTCAAACCCAGCCTGGGATAATTAGTGATTTAGTGAGCCCTGGGTTCAAAAGGGAAATTTTAAAAAGGACTCAGGATGTAGCTCAGTCCAAAGGCCCTGGGTTCAATTCCCAGTGTCAAAGAGAGGGAGGGAGGAAGGAGGAGAGAGAAGGCAATAGGGAAGGGAGAGGGGAAGGGAAAGGGAAGGGAAGGGAAGGGAAGGGAAGGAGACTGATCTTGCTGTGGAGTACACAGAGAGTGGCAGCGGTGACACAGAGGGTATTTGGCTGCAACCCTGTACGGAAGGTGGAGAGGTAATCTCGTGTGAGAAGGATGCATGTGCTTAAGGAATCTGGCTTGCTGGACGTGTTGAGAATTAGATGGGCTAGGCAGATGGGTTGGAAAACCCTAAAACATTTATTCCCACCTAGCATGATTCTGCCCATTCGGCAGTGTCTGTAGATCGTTTCCCTTGCCATAGCAAGGTCAGAGGACGCCAGTGGTGTCTGGCGAACAGTGCCAAGGTTGGGACCCTTCCTTCCATAAAGCGAATCTGGAGGGTTTGGGGTTGATGGTGTAGACACCATGTCCTGCTGTGTTCCCCGGAGCCTAAATCATCTCAGCTGCTGCGTCCAACGCCTAAGCAGGGTAGATGAGAACAGACGGGGTTTCTGTTGTATGGAAGGTAGCTTCTGCTGAGACTTCGGGATGCCAAGCTCCATGGCGTGGCAGGTTCATTTTTTGCCACACAGAAGAGACACACATTCGCGCCATTGTGTGTGGGCTTTGTCAAGCTCTGAGGCAAGTGCACGGAGTAGACTCCTCTCCCAGCCGCCAAGGAATGGCTGGAAACCACATCACGGGGAGCCGCGGGCAACTTCAGAGCCCCCTGCAATTATGGTGTGGAGGATGTCTCCGGAGGAAGCCAGGCTGTGTTCCACCCAACCCTTCAGTTAGTTTGTTGGTCTTGCTGAACAAACAGTGCAGAGATCAGAATCAAAGCAGCCCATTTTCAGAAGCAAGGCCACGTCTAAAGATACATGCTCTGTAAGCACAAAAGATGCTTCGACGCTGATGTATTTTTGGGTGTTGTATAAATATCCCCCTGTGGTTAGGTGGCATGCCAGCCCGCGTCTGTAAGTGTGTTTGGTGTTGTTCCCAAATTAACTCTGAAGCCTGCTTCTGCGAAGTACTGCAGTTAAGGACGCATTGATTTTTTTTCACCTGTGGGAAGAATGAGGGACCACTTGCAGGGTGAAGATTGGGCCAGCTGGTCCTGGAGCGTTCAGTTTTGGGGCCTTGCAGATCTCAATCTGTGTTCT